CGTTACAGGATCTGTCATTGACGGGAACGATGCTAGTGGCAGTTTCGATCGAAAACGTAAATATAGTTTTTTTCCCCACCCATTACCTAATACAATATTTATAAGATGTCAGTTCCAATTCTTTAAGTAGTCTCAGTTCTTTCGTATTAGATTTTGTGACTTCAATGTCTGACCTTTCATTATGCTTTTTCTGAGAAAGAATTGCAAATTCGTCACAGGATCTGTCATTAACAGGAACGATGCTGGTGGCAGGTCACTCCGCGCGTTCCAAGTTCGTAAGCCTCGTAGCCATATAATTGTTATAAATTACGCATCTTCATCTGCAATTTACGATCTTGGATGGCAATGGAATACAACGCGGACATTTGCGAATCGTTTAAAAGACAAACTACCGCGGGCGGGGGTTTAAACGATAAATCTGCACGCCCGGGGGGCCGAAATTAGAAACAACGTACGTTGCATTCGTAGGCCGACAATGCCTTCCTCGTCCGGGGGAGAGCAGGCCGCGATTTTGAATTCGCAACATCCGGTAGAACGTTTCGTGAATACCGTGCTTATGGCTCAATTAATTTCAATGTCCTGCAGGTGACACAGGCTACTTCGATAACAATGCTGGCCCGCAGTCCAGCTCGCGATTGTAATAGTGACGCTCGACTGACCGTCGCCATTGCGCGTACAAAAACAAGACGAATAGACCGGCTATCTAGAGCAGATAGCCACTGAATGGATCCGCCTGATCTACGATCCCGAAAACCGCGCACGAATGTCGAATACCTACCTGCAAAAAGCTTTCGCCTATTGGATGTGCAAGATCTTCGCTCTTTTCATTTTTACGAGTGCAATCAGATCGATCAATTGATAATGTGAAGCGACGTTTAGGATTTGTATACCTATATTATATTTTTTACATTTATATATAGAGGTATTTCAAATTATGTAAAAATATGTAAATACTCAAAATAATTGGGGATGGGAGGGAGAATTCGTTTAATTGAAATACAAGAAAGTAACCGAGTATGAGAATTTGCACGTGAATCAACAAACGTTCTCATAAAATATTATCGGAATCGCATCAAAATATAATTGAGACATATGTCTGCTTAAAAACAATATAAATCAAATTGTAATAGATCGAATTTAAATACGCATGATATGGATTTAAATGTTAAATGTTACATTTATTTAAAACCATATTTTTTCTATTAAATACCGAACTGAGAACTTCTTGAAAAATTCTTGTAGTTATTACAGAAAGATTCTTTTAAAAGAAAATAGATAACAATTTTTGCAAAATTATTCATAGGAAATATATAAGAATACTAGCCTTATCATCTTATAGTAAGTGGATTATAATTTTTTAGATGGCAATAATTTTTAAATAATTAAGAATAGTTAATCAGTAAAATTAAAACTGTATTTTAGGCGTTAGTCACATTGCATAATTAAAAGTTTCTTATAAAACAGGACATCTCTTAATCCGATACTTTTTCAATACTGGCGACAAGTGTTCGTATATTAAAGTGTATATTCGCGATACTGTCGAATATACCGACACCCAATTAGCTAATTGAACTGTAAGCGAAATTCATCCGGGGTTTGTTACGCCGAGAGGGAACGACCTTGGCACTCTAATTCGTAACCTAGGCATGCCAGGCGAATGCGAATTTATAGCGCGGCGAGAAGTTCCGGAGAAACGGCAGGTCTTAGGGGTGGTGAGCCGCAACGTAGGGTTGATGGTCAAAGCTTGTATTAATTACAACTGTCAGGCAACCGAGCGCGCCGTCGACTGGGGCAGAACCGTGCCAGCGCTGACTTTGTTCCTTCCGAGTCGCGTTACGACACGCAGTGATTCTCAAATCTGAAAGCGGTGAATTATGGCGATTGATCTTAGAAATGCATGATAAGAGAATGTTGGAAAACGAAAAAATAACAAAAAAAATAAAGACAATATGTCTATTTGTTATAATATATTATGGTAACTTCGTACACAATATAAATATTATTTATATAATATAAATATTGGTCATAACTCAAATTACTTGTTTTTAATATAAATATTATTTTTTAATATATGATATTAATGGATGTAAAAATATCGTATTATTATCTACGTAAAATAAAAAGTATCTCTATATAATAGAAGAAAAAATAATAATCCTCTTCATAAAGTCTTATTCGTTTTAACGCGGTTTTCATCTGAAAATGTTTCACATTGTCGACTGCGAAATAAACGACTCTTTTCGATCGAAGTATTTTCAAATGGAAATATAATGATTTGAATGTGTTAAGCAACGTCGGCGGTCTCTTGCGGCAGCACTGATGTTCTCGCACTTGAAACACATATATCAATCTTCAGTAAGTCACTGCTGTCCGAACCAACAACCCGGCACGAAGTATCGATCATTTTAGGGAAGGTATCAATCCACCACAAACAACATAAAATAAATTAACTATCTTGCTTGTGGATGCAAAATTACTTTAACTAACTTTTGCGCGATAAAAAGCAGTTCAAGAAATTATATAATGTTAAAGCGTCCCATATTGACATTTTTTACTATTCGTATAATATTATTAGTTTTGAAGCCCATATTTTTTTCTACAATGTAATTTATTTTATTATCATGCTAAAGCTCCAGTAATTTCATACATTCATTTCCTTAAAAGAAACATATCTATATATTTAATTTATTTAAAAGCCACATATACACGGAAAGAACAATTTTGTTGAATCCAAATCTGAAAATAATTTAATCAAAATAATTTTGTGCGAAAGTCAAAGTAATTGCTAGAATATCAAAACGTTTTATAGCAATGCTTATCAGTTTTAACATTCCAACAAATTATTTTGATGATTCAACAAAAAATTATTTTCAGATCTGTTTTTAGCAAAATTTTTAGATCTTTCAACAAAACCGTTCTTTCCGTGTAGGGATTGGGTTAAAGAACTATGTGATTTAAATAATTTATTATTTATTCGTCATATTTATCTTCGCATCAAAGCACAAAGGGTACATACACACTATATTGTCATCTTTGCCACGAATGCCTTGATGAAGTATTACACTATTACGTGGTTTCTTGATTTCTTGCTATGTGCATATACATATACAGACGTGCGCTACACGCGAATTCTTGTTTCCTTGTTCCTGCTGGATATGCGCAAGACGACGTCGCAAGGCAAACTTCGCTGCTTGTAACTTCATTGCGCCAGGTCGTGTCGACCCGAAGTTCCGTGTGCATAACACAGATAATATATAGAAGATTGCGTAGTCTTCTGAGGAATGACGTGCGTGCGCAATTCATAACGTAAATTATTTATAGCTCTGGGGAGTCTTGAAGCTATGCCGCTTAAAAGGGAAGCCACTTAAAGGAGAAAAAAGAATCGAGTACTTAATAAAAAGTCGAGTAATTCACACCTTTCACGAGGATTCATTCGCTGCATGATCGAGATAAATCGACGTGTCCATCGTGTCACGTAACACAATACTTATCACATCGCTCTCAGCGATATTTGCACGCGATCACTCCTCTCTCGATTAATTTTACAACCGTAATTTTTACTGTATATGCACAGTCAGTAGAAAACGTCTTCTCAACTTTGACATCCACGTTCCCCACCCTTTTCGTGTCAAGCCAAATCGTATTACCTCACGATAGATCGATCCAACTTTTCGGTAGCGGCGCGCGGCAATACGTCTTCGTATCAAAATACTTCTGTTCACAGCGACCTCTTTTCCCATCGGCGGCCCTCCCGACTCGATTTCTTTCGCACCTATACCATCCCTCACCTTCCCGCGGACGTGCGCTCGAGGAGGAGAGCTTGGGTTTGATGCATGGGGCTACTTCGCAACGTCGTCGGGAGACTCGACTTTATCAAGCGGCCAAGCGGAGCGAGTCGAACCCGCGGCCGATTGTCGGCATGGAAATTCGAATGCGATGAACTTCCACCGAGAAGCGATAGCCCTCTTCTCTCTCCCCCCCCCCTCCCTCCCCTCTCCTTCCATCCCTCCCCCGTCGATGTTACACGGGAGATGGAAAAGCTATTTGCTTTTGATCTCGCGTTAGAGCGAGTCGCTTTACGACGACGGGGCGCGGCGGAAAAGATAGGTCGAGGAAAAGAGTGCTTCAAGAAACTGGAAAAACGAGATCGTAATAACGTCGCGGTAGTTCAGCGAGCGATAAAAATCCCTTTTCATTCGCGGCATCCTCCCCCCCCCTCCCCCGCGTATCTAGCGTTGTAGAATCCGAGTTTACTACCACTCTTTTTTATATAAGCAAATGTAAATTATAATTGTTCGGCTGCTTCCTCGGTGGTAAATTGTTTCACGGGAGATTGCATTTATAAGTGACTATATATGTCGGGGAGAAAAATGCATGGTGCAGAAACAAATGGAAAAATGCGATTTTGAGCTGAATTTATATCACGATCCTACGTTACGTTCTTGCACATTGCATGTATTGATTTTCATGTTTATTGTGTCTTGCTCCTCTATAATTTAATGCAACCGTAAAATATTACATATACTTCGCTTTTTGGCATAAAATTGCAAACGCCTGATTGGGAATACAGATATGCCAGTATCGATGTACATATAGGGATGTGTTTAACGCGATGGGGATAGTTTATGCCTGCCTCGAGGAAGATTCGTGCGAGGCATAGCAACGCGTGTATCTTCGAAACAACTTAAGAGCTAATAAGCACGCGAGCACACAGGACACGAAAGTTCTTAATTGGGAAATCTTGTAATGCCGCCCGTTGCGTTTATACACTCGATAATAACAGTAACCGCAGTTTCCAGAATTCGAAGGCTGCCATTCGTGTCTCGCTACAAAATTACATTTAGTTAATTAAAATATAAATGAATAATATTGTTTTTTTTATAATAATATTTTGAACAATATCGTTTACTATTTAGTCGTCCGTATAGAAATGTAAAACATGAAAGACAAGTAATTTTGCAAAAATATCTATCTAATAATAATTTTATTTATTGTTTCAGATAGCCGAGGACATCAGCGTGACGCGTATGTGAGTAAATAAATTGAAAAAAACAAATTAAATTTAAAAAACAGTCAATATTTATACTGTAAACTATGTATTTGCTTTAAATAATTATTACTTTAGCATAAATTTTGAAAGTAATATTAATCAAATGATTAATTTAAAGGCAAAATAAAGTGCCTAAGTTTAATTATATCAATTATTACATAAATTTTTTTTTTAACAAAAGCGGATAGTGGAATAATGTTATTATGCCATATTTCATAGCAGTTGAGATTTATTGAATAGACCGATTTGGTTGAAAAATATTTCCAAGCGGCGCACGTAATCGAAATTAGAGTAATTGGAGCTACGTGGACGGGAAACAATGTTTTTCGATATTTTTATTATGCAGAAACGGTAGCATCAAAATGGATTATTTTGAGTGACCGTGCCGGATTATATCTCTATTTGTTTCCCGAATATTCATGAAAATCGTTCTTAAAAATTAGTTTCATTTATTAAAAATGAAGCGCCATTCGTGATCTTACGGAACAAGGCAAGTTTCACGAATCGGTACATCGAAATACACCATTGTGATTAACGATTGTCCCTGGCCGAGGGCGAGCATTAATTTTTTATTTCGCACGTCGAAAATTGCAAACGCGTATACATTTTTCGATAATTTTTGCATCGTTCTGTTCCATTCGCGTGAAAACGTGTCATGCCGACCGCAGCCGCACTTCTGTATGGCGGCGAAATTCCTTTTCGGCAAGGTCGAACGGTACAACTCTCGCCGTCGCGCTTCCGCGGGTAAAAACGATTTTAATTCGTACATTTTCGCTCGCGGATTCGCTGCGAGAATAAATAGCAATTGAATTATCGCGCATAAAACAACACCTCGCGCCTGGTGTACGCCCGTACAAGCGTAGCGTCATTGCGCAGATAATAATCTGTCGTTAAAAGGTAACGACATTCTACTCCGCATGAAGCGGTATCACGGTTTCGTATTATCATGCGACCAGGGATAATAACCTACGATATGACATACATAGTGCCCGCTATCATACGGCGCGCCCCTCGTCATTCGTTCGCACGTGAGCAAGCGTACGCGTTGGGATCAATAGGGAGATCGTTTCTTTCCTTCGACGCGTGCATCTTGTACGAGGCTTAAACGAGAAATATCCTTTTGTGATTTAGATAATAAAGAAAATCTGCCATTAATTGATAAAAAAATTAGTAAGAAATAAGTATTAGTAAGAAATAATAATATATATTTGGTGTATACAAAAAATCATATAAATTAATACGAAAAAATTAAGATATTAATTTAAACTTGGTAAAATATACTTAAAACTTTTTTCTTATATCAATATTTTTTCTCCTTTATATAGCTACGCGGAAAGAACGACGTTGGAAGGACGTCTAAAAATTTTACTGAATACAGATCTAAAAATAATTTTGAAAATTCAAACTGATTGCTAGAATATCAAAACATTTTACAGCAACGCTCATCATTTCGAAATTTCCAAAAAAAATAAATAATTTTGATGATCCAACAAAATTATTTTCAGATCTGTATCCAGCAAAATTTTTAGACCTTCCAGTAAAATCGTTCTTTCCGTGTAACAAAGATAATCGTTTTTTTGTTCCTCTTTTTTTAGAAAAAGACAAATTGCTTTTTGAGACCCATAAACACAATCACTAATGTTAAGATATAAAAAATTTTAGTCCTAATAATTACTGCATCATTAAGTCGTTCCTTGAATTAGAGATACATTTGCCGCCATATTTTGCAAACTGTAAAAATTACTATTGAGTAATCATCCTTGCAAGTTCTGCAGATTAAATATACGATCGCTTCTTCGAATGTCAAACTCGTCTTTAATCGGACGGCTCTAGTTCGGATTATTATGCAATCGAGGACAATATCATCGTCTAACTCTCGACGGTTGCATACATAGTAGTTATTATCATAGAAGGATCACACTATTGGCTACGAGTATGCATCCTCGCGATGATATAGATATACGTTACGCTGGAACTAATGAATCGCCCGGGACTTTAGGGGTAACGAGCAGCCGGCCGATCTATCTTCCCGTTATTCGACGTCAAACACTATAATCTTCCCGGGATTAATCGACTTTGGTCGTATTTATACACCTGCGGGGGTGAGCGGCGAGAATTTACGCGTCTGCCACGGTAAATCCTTCAATATTGGCCTACTTGAGCGATCGCCGCGAGCAGATCGAGTTCTTGATAGCTTCGATAGCCGTCGATATCGCGTACATACATACTCTCGGTACCCTTCTACTTGGTATTCCCGTCGCGTGGGTGGCAAAAAGCGGCTTAGGCAAAAGTTTACGGCTTTACTAAGAAATATCGAGGCATCGAGAATAATGTACCCAATAATATCAAAGGTCACCTACAAATTTAATGTAAACTCTGGGTTATGTCTCGGGGACACGAAATATTTTATCAGAATCGGAAACAAAGGAAAAAAAACAACTTCTGCTCGAAAAAGTTAAGATACAAGGTTCTATTTTATAATTATTTTTCATCAAATTCTTAACTTTTTATTTGTTACGTAAATTATATATTTGAAAAATAACTGAAGCAAATTGAATAAGCGATTTTTCTATTTTAGAAAAAGGTAGAAAAATTGTTTTCTGAGACTCATAAATACAAAAACATGTTAAGTAGTGAAAAATTTTAGTCCTAAGAATTGCTGCATCATTAATTAATAACGTCTTGCACGAGTAAGTTCTTTGCTTTTCGAAGTATATTCATTGTTTTTCTTCTCCTGCCAAGTTTTACTCCATCACTTCTTTTCGATCTATTTCTACTTAAATTCGTATCAAGATTAGCACAGAAAGTATTAAGATGTTATCGCGCTAACAGCGAGAAATTACATTTAGCTAGATTGTTCGGGATCGCCCGGGAAATTGATTTCGCGGGGAAACAATCCCGAGCGCTCTGAATGGATCGCCCTGTATGGAGGGACGTTGTTTTATCGACGCCATCGATCACACCGTGCATGCATCGAGCAACCCTTTTCAGACTTGCTGCTCTCGTTACGCCGGTTTCACTGTAGCTAACCTGGCGTAACCGCCTCAAGAAAATTGCCGCGCGAAGACGCCGGTTGGGCGTCCCTCGACCGAGGGTACGGTAGCTCAGCCGGCTATACGGATGACGATCGTGGAAGGGTGGTAGTTGGTGCGAGTCGGGAGAGGTGGAGGGGGGGGGAGGGAGGGAGGCGGCGAAACTCTCCTCACGTCGTATTTGTGTATGGATGTCGAGATTATTCTCTCTCTCTTTCTCCTCCGTTCCGAGTAATGCACTCCGGTGTCAGGGCATCCACCCCTCCGTCTCCGATGAATAAAACCGCATATCAACCGTCGCAATAAGAAAGCGCTGCAACCGGATTTAATATGACGTGTACCTTGTTACTACCGGTGCGGTCTCGCGTTTTCCCCCTCAGCCCTCTGCAGCTCCCCCTTTCCTCTCCACGACCTCTTTCCGTTCCACTCTACTTTCGACCCTCCCGTCGTCTTTTCTCTCCCGGCCGCGCGCACCGATGCGTGTCGCGCGTGGGTGCTGGCTGCCGCGAATTTTACAACGTTTGCCAACCCCATCCCTACACGCTTTCTTTCGCGTGGCGTCGCGATATCGCGTTCCATAAATGCGCTAAATTTCAATATCGTTCTCATTGTAGACCAACGAGATTTTAATAATGGCATGTTCCCGGCGATTACTTCGCGTGTAGCAACGATTCGTACCACCGAAGGAACAATTTTGCTGAATCCAAATCTGAAAATAATTTTTGTTCAATAATCAAAATAATTTTGTGCGAAAGTCAAAGATGATTGCTAGAATGTCAAAACGTTTTACAGCAATGCTTATCAATTTTAACATTCCAACAAATTATTTTGATGATTCAATAAAACATTATTTTCACATCTGTTTTTAGCAACATTTTTAGACCTTTCAACAAAATCGTTCTTTCCGCGATGTATCGCCCGCTGTACAGTCGACCGTGTAATCCTTGGCATTTATTATAGAAGACTTGAGCCAGATTTGGGACACGTGTGCGTAAGCGCTGAGCTTTTAAACGTAAAGCATGTCGACAACCATACCTTGCATCATAAGTGACATGTACTGCCGGCTGTCCTTCGCGCACCACGAAATGTATTACTTTAATGAACGTATTAATGCAGAATCACACGCTTGGTTTAGCATTGTTTTGACATCGTTTTGGAGTTAATGAAAGTTTTAAGCATAATAGATTTGCAGATTTCAGTGCCTTTGCCAATGGACTCGCAATAATAATATCCCCTCCGTCCATTTGCGTATCATATTCCCGTGAATTTACAGAATATTAATGACATCGTGCTTCCGGCGATTACTAGCGTGAGCGGGCGTGACGTTATATAATTCGAAAGCGCTTTCAGATATATTTCAATATTAATGGCCGATATTGCAAGTTTCGCTTTGCAATACCGCTCCTAAAAATGAATGATTCCGCGGTTGCGCGGGCGAGTCCGATATCAAAACATATCAATCGCCCGCCGATTTATTTCATTGTGGAGGAATGCGCGTACAGAATCCGACGTGGAATGTCAATGAAGTCGTATATCATTGCCAATCTACGCTAATAACAATCTATCGCGCACTACCGATCGACTCGTTTCGCTAAGCCGCTGTAAATTAGGCTATTAAATTCGTATTGGCCGGCCGGTCGACCGCTCGCGTCCCGACGTTGCCAGCGAATCGCCGAATATCGTCGAACGAAAGGACCAACGGCACGGCGATGGTCGATTCCACATAATCGCAGACTACTAGTGCCGGGGGAAACTCGGCCGCATTGTAGTCGGCCACTCGAGCGTTTTACATATTTTGATTGTTCGCACACGCGAGATATCTCACGGCGGCAGCATATAGAAACGCTGGCTCGCGGGGTATAAAATGGAAAATGCGCATTGTATTATCAAGCGTACTGCGCTATTGTCGCACTCACGCAATATCGATTCGCAATTCGTCGCTTTTCA